CAGTACCTAGTTTTAATAAATTTGATGAAACAAAAAGTAGAGTTTCTCAACATGTCAACTTTTTCGAATGCAATTCTTTGAATATATCGATAACGACTCTGAATAATCTTGTAATTTTGATATAGTCTACACATGCCAGCCTTTCTGTTTGAACAGAGAAAACGAGAAAACGGACATATTTTGGGGTACATTATATAAAACCTGTTTAAAATTTGCACGTCCTTACTGTATACAATAAAACAAGTCTAAAATGGTACAATATGGCTGGTGCAGGTGGTGTGACGAGTCCACTGTTATTTGGATACTTTTTTGGGGGTGAACTCGTCACACGTTTTTCAGTTGTGTCGACTTCACCGTGTGACGAGTTCACTGGTTCCCTTACATGTCCTGAGCCTAATGCTTTGGAAACAATAATTTTATTGTGTTCCTCAACCTGTGGCATCGGTCGCAAGAGCTCAAAAAATTGTTTTCTCGAAACTCAAAATAGAGATGGAAAACATTGTGCTACTATTGTGTTTATTACTGTACAGTTCGATGTATATATAATGTTTTTTAAATAATTATATATGGGCCTGCGATACAAAAATGTAATATGGGTGGTTGGCGGGTGCTCTGGTAATTGCTCCTTCTTTCCTATAAAAATATCGATCATCTCTATCTCCCCTCCTTCTTATATGTGTTTGTTACTCTCTTGTAACACCTCTAATCTTTGGCACTTATAAGATCTTATTGTGTTGCAAGTGCCGTAAGACTCCAAATAAAACTTTTTTTTAAAACAAGTATTTCCCGCTGTTCCCAGCACTGGAACACGAGCCTCCAGGAGCGCGCCAACACCTGGGCCCACAAGTGTAACTTCCGGCATGAGCACAACATCGACGTCGGGGAGAACCTGTTCTTTGACAACGACCACAAGGAGAAAGTGCTGATGAGGGGCCTCAAGGCCTGGTTCGTGGAGAAGGAGCTGTGGTCGTTCGCCATGCCCACCTGTGGCGACGCCTGTCACTACACACAGGTCAGTCAGTCGTCACGTCATGTCGCGTCATTGTGGTGCTTATGCTTGTGTTGTTTTTGTTTTGTGTTTTGTTTTTTGTTTGCTGTTGGGTTTTTTTCTTTTGTTTTGTTTTGTTGTTGTTGTTTTTTGTTTTTTTTTGGGGGGGGTGTTTGTGGAGAGGGGGTGGGTGTCTTTAGAGCTCTTTTATATAGCTAGGTAGACTTAATTTAGCTCATTTAGGAGACAGGCTGCTTTGATCCTTTAATTCAGATGGCGGCCCCGAGCCTATCACGCGTATGTTAAGTCTGTGATTGTAATGGGTTTTTTTAAAATGCACGATTGACTCAGTTTAGATCATTTTTGGAGGCGGGCTAATTTCATCTTTCAGTTCAGATGACGGTGCACCTATTACAGGTGCAGGTGTACCTTTGGTGGTTGACAGGTGCCCTGTTATAGTTTTTCTCTTTCTTTACTGATTTCAAACGTCTATCCCCCTTTTCTCTCCTTCTTCTTTTCTTTTTTATGTCATTCTTATAATACCTCTAATCTGTGGCACTTATTTCTGTGACCTATCGGTGTTGCAAGTAGCGTCAAACTTTCACTAAAACTGGAAAAATAATAAAACACAGGTGAGTCATTTTGAATTGATGGCAGTTGGTTTTGTTTGTTGTTTTTAGCCTGATTGACTAAATTTATATAATTCAAGGGGCTAGCTGCTTTGACCCTGCACATTTCAAAGCCAATAATTAGTTATAAAAATACAGTCGACGTTTTCTGAGATGGCCATCCATTTGACCATCTATAATTTTTTTATAGAGGCACCAGCCATCCATGTCCAGGTCCTGTTTTATCCATGGCCTTCCATTTTTGAGGAGAAAGGGGGTTGTCTTTGACAGGAGGACGTCTTGGACAATGTCATTATGATATAGAGAAAAATACAAGGAGAGAAGTGGGTATTGTAAAGGTGCTTCTCTTGAACAATGTCATTATGATATAGAAAAAAACACAAGTGGGGATGTGGGTATTGGCCGTTTGTAAAGGTGCTTGTCTTGAACAATGCCATTATGATATTGAAGAAAAAAAAAACTCAAGTGAGGTGAAGACTTGAGGGAATTGGTTGTTTGTAAAGTTGCTTGTCTTGAACAAAGTCATTCTTTTACATAGAAAACAAAAACACAAGGGGTAAGTGGAAATTGGTCGTTTGTAAAGGTGCTTGTCTAGGACAGGTGGCCGTTGGAGCAGGTCTGACTGTATGCTGTACCGTTGTTGGCGACCGTCCAAGATGGACGTTTGACAGGGGGGATATAATATGCACACAACGTGGGGGCTAATGGACGTGAGATCAAAACACGGAATACCATCACTATATTA